TGGGGAGGAAGGACATCCTTGGAGCCGCTTTGGGGCAGCCCTGACCGTCCTGGGGGACATGAATGGGGACCAGATGACAGACGTGGCCATCGGGGCACCCGGGGAGCAGGAGAACTGGGGCGCAGTCTACCTGTTTCATGGAGTGTCAGGACAGGGCATCAGCTCCTCCTACAGCCAGGTGAGGCTCCCTGTCCTCAACCATTGCTACCCGCCCACCCACTTCCTCTGATTGGGTGTCACCCACCTAGCCTTCAGACACTGGCCTGGCAGCCGAATCCAAGGCCGACGGAGAACAAATCCAATCGCGTATCTCCATGGGTTCTATACGGATTTGAGTCTGGACGTCTTTTCATGGTGAAGAGCGTGGACCCAGGTCAACTACCTTGACTGGCCACCACTAAGCTGGGTGGCCTTAAGCCAGTAATGGACTTAGCCTTTGTGGGCCTTAGTCTTCTCCTAGGAGGCGTGGCAATGAAAATCTCACCTGGATAGCTAGCACAAGGAAGCAGTCAGCTCGCTAGTCATCCACGACTTGTCCGTGAGCATGAGGACGTGTGGATAAATGAATCGGTTTGAGTCCTATCGTTGTGCTTTTAGTTCCTGGTTAGCCTGCACCCTCCAGGATGGATTGGTCCAAAACCAGTCCACCTCCTCCCTCTGACCCTTGCAGGGAGAGCTCCTTCCTAGTCTCTCCATTCCAAGCCCTTTCCCTGCGATCTTCTTTCTAAAGCTCCCTCCTCCAGTTTTGCCGCGCACTCCCTTGAGTTCCGCATCTCCTCTCCCTCTATGACCAGCGCATCACAGGCACCCAGTTCTCTCTCAAGCTCCACTATTTTGGGCAGTCGCTGAGTGGGGGTCAGGATCTCACCCAGGATGGACTGGTAGACTTGGCCGTGGGGGCCCAGGGACACATGCTACTGCTCAGGTAAGTACTGCCCCCACCTCTTCCCCCTCGGCCCCTGTCTGATGTTGCCCATGCCAATCCCTCCCCTCTCAACCCCTTTCCTCCCAGAGGCCAGAGCCCTGTCCTCGGCCCTTTCTTACACCCCTCAGGAGCCGGCCTGTGCTGAAAATTGGGGTCACTATCAGATTCACCCCCGTGGAGGTGGCTAAGGTTGTGTACCAGTGCCGGGACAAAGGGCGC